CCTAAACTGTGCATAGTACACAGGTGCACCGGGAGGTCAGATTCTATCTCTAGTGCTGACTGAGTCACCTATTCCTGTGGCTATATGCAAATTATCTAATCTTGCAGCATGTTGTTCCCTTTGTGGAATGGAATTTCCATACTTCCTGTTACAGAGGCTAATTTTAAAGAACATTTATTGGATAACTGAATCATTCTTTCAAAGTATAACTTTTCCATCTCTTAACACAGTAAGACACTTAAACTGGTCATTGAGAACCCACATAGATGAACAGAAAGGCCCAGTTAAGGATGGGTCAGTGTTACAATTAAAACATAGCTTTTGTAGTCTTACAGACAGGAGTCCATTTTCAGTTCTGTTATTTATTATCAATTGAAAAAAAAAGGTATGTCTCTGAGCCTCTGTTTTGTCATCTATAGAATGGGTACAATATAGACATAGGTTGTTATAAAGATTAAACACAAGTAATGTTTTAGGATGGTAGTTGTTACACAGTATACTCAAATGATAGCAATTATTATTTTGCCCTGCTCTGACTCACAGTTTAACTTTAGACAAAGTGCAAAATCCCTCTGGGTTTACTTATTCAGCTCCAGAATACATATGTCATCTGGCATCTTCACATGAAACACTGCAAGATAAAATTTAATGGTGCTCCAGTGGTATTTTGTATTTCCCTGAAACTAGTTTATCATCTTAGAATTACTGTTTGAAAGTCCTGACAACTCACCCTCCCACACAAACCATGTATGTACTTGGAGAAATGTCAGGCTTGCAGGTCCTGGCATGATGTGTTGACGCCTCTGCAGCCCACTTTCATCCTCAGCCTTCAGTCCTTCATGATCCCTAATCTAGTGATCTCTGACCTGTGAAGTTGTTCTTTACATTTCCCACCCATTATCTTTAATTAAGTAGCTCCAAGAAAATATGCTTGAATTAATTCTATCTTATTCTGTTTTGTTGAGTTGAGGTTTTATATATTTCCCAGGATATTCATGAACTTTTGAAACTGAACAATCCTACAGCTTCAACTTCCTGAATGCCAACCTGAGTAACTAGTAATATATTCTAAACCCTAACACTGATAGAGCCATTGAACATCCATTGAACATAATATCACAGGAGAACTATTCCACAACCACTGAGGATAGAACACTATTAGATTTGGGTATAAAACTCAGTGCTGATGTTTCCATTTGTTCCCTCTTTAAAATGACCAAACTCATTTCAGAAGAAAAGACAGTTGATTCTGGCCAATGAACTTATTTGCAGAAAACAGTGATGTAATCTAAATGTTGTGCTCTCACCTTTAAGACAGTAGGAAAACTGGGTCACATGTTCATTTTATAGCATTAGTAAGACAGCTGGTTCTTTAAAGATGTTTAGAAACCCATACATGAAAGTGGAATTATCCTCCAGCCTTTCCTTCTCAGCACTTGTGTAGACAACTTCAGGTTGGCTTTATACACCATCTGTCTGTTGACTATGTGTTCATGTTTTATCCATGAAGATATATGGTGGAGTTTTCCATTCCTGTCAAGCTCTCCAATGGCTGAAGGGTTCTTCATTTACCACTTGTGATAGACACTCTGTTATAGATAAAAAAAAAAGGCCTGGACTTCCAGACCACAAGTGCAGATGCTGGATCCCACAGTGAGCCTGGACCATTCGAACCACACACCTCCTTATCTTTTAAAAGAAGTGATAACAGTAATCACTTAGGAGAGCATTACTCAATGGAATACACTTTACAGGTTACACAATGTGAGGCCAATGAAAGCTTGCTGAAAGCTTTTTCTATGAACAGGACTGACCTTAGCCAGAAGAGAAATGAATGCATGTGAAACCCTTGTAGCACAGACATGTCGCAACTCTAAACCTACCTGTCAATGAAAATTCCTTTCAATATCATTACTGACTAATTTCCGGGTGTGGTGTAGTTTTACAGTGAAGTTTTTCCTGTAAACAAGTCTATTTTGAAGATGAAAATAAGACCTGCTTCCCTGTTTGACATAAACTACCCAATATATCTGTACCCTCCCTTCAGTGTCCACACCTTCTGAAATTACCCTTGCCTCCATAATCATCACTATGCTGCATAAATAAGTGCTCATCTTCCTTGAAGGGAAAGGTGACTAGGGAGAGAGCACCTCTCATTAAGATATAATTATTTCAATTTAAATAAAGCAAAGGGTGACTTCTTTTTAATAACAACTGTTTCGTTTACTCTTTTTTTTCTCCAGACTCACATAGTCTTTTCTTTTTATGTCCACACTATATTGTTTTTTCCTCAAACATCATGGATTTGAGATTACTTTGGGCAAATCTTTAACATGATGTTCAACTACAGGTTTATGAGGCTTTATGCCATGGGGCTAAATAACTCTACTTGTATTAAGTGCTTATTGATTCTTTTTTTTTTAGATTTTGACTGTTTTTATTTAAACGCATTTGTTTGACAATTTCATACTGTGTTTACATAGTTCCATGTACAATGCCTTCTGTCTGTCTCTACACTCCCTCTCAAATTCATAATCACCTCTTCTTTTTTTTCTAGTTTCTAGATTTTTTGTTTGTTTATTATTATTATTTTAATTATTTTTTATTTTATTTTCCAGTTTAAATTTAGATAAGAAACGAGGGTGTACATGGGCCAGTCTTTGAGAAGTAGTTTGTAAGTAAAAATTGTTTATTACTTTAATTTTAAATAGCTTGCTTCACATGTCAATCCCGGTTCCCTCTCCCTTCCCTCCTCCTGCACTCTCCCTCACCATCCCCTCCCCCCCAGCCTTCCACCCTATCCCCACTTCCTTCCACATAGGGGATATCTAGAGTCTGTCATTTCACTCAGGGCAAGGTCCAGACACTCCCCTAAGAGTCCAGGCTGAGACAGCATCCTTCTTTGTGTTATGGACACACAAAGTCTGTTTGTATGCCAGGGATAAACACTGATCTACTGCCCAGGGCCCCATAGGCTGCCCAGGCCTCCAAAATTAAAGTTGTATATTTTATTTAATTTGAATATTACTCATTTTGCCTTCAGTCATTTAAAAAATATAGATATTAGTCCCTATAAGTTTGATCCACTTACTTTTAACTTTTATTATCATCAGTTACTGGCAAACACACTTAGGAAAGTAAAAATATTTGGGGGGTGGGATGGGGTTGGTGGGGGCATGGAAGGACAGGGAACTGGGATTAGTATGTAAAATAATATTGCTTTTAATTTCAATAAAAATGTATAGAAAAAATATTTAAGAAATATCTTCTCCTCCCAAGTCTCCTCCTATAAGCCTACACAGTGAGGATTTCTTTAACTTTCTTCTTCTGTGTGTGTTTATAAAATCAATGTGTTGATCTCTTTGTACTCAAAGAATAACAATTTGAAGAACTTGAAGAGTAGCAGGATGAATCTTCACCCAGTCCAAATAATTTCCTTACCCTCAAATGTCTTAAATAGTCATTCTCATTTAGATGGGATAGGGAGAAGGCAGTCAGGATTTGGCTAAAGATGAAGGTGGATATAAATACAACTTCCCAACTATTTCTTCTATACTCCAGTAATGAGACAAAGTCATCAAACTGAAACCATCAACATATATATATTTCTATTTCTTCAGAGCAATCCTTTTGAAAATTTGTGTAATAAACCTAGTTCATTTCAACCTCAGCCATCCCCTTGATATCTCATCCAATATTGCACCCATCCCCACATAGTCTTCTTTATCAGTCATAAAACCTTCGGATCTAGGAGTTTTTTGATTTTTAGTTGGTGGGATTTTTGTTTACTTAAAAGATAATCTCGTCTATTCTGAAACAGGACTTTTGAAAATTAACAAATCTTCTATTTTAAATAAGAGATAAATTATAGAAAAAGAATTCATTGCAATATTTGCTTCATTGCAGCTTCTCTACATGTTAAGACTGAAATTCAGTCAGATCTAACACAGACAAGATCTGGAAGCTAGTATGGAGAACTCAATAGAGACTTTCTTAAGTACTATTTTCTACAGTAATATTATAAAAATGAATGAAAGGAAGAAGAAAAGATACAAGGAGCATCAGGGGTTATTAAAATGATGTAAAAGGCAGACATCCCTATATTTATAAGATCTGTAGTTCTTAGTTGACTCTTAGAAATAGTAGAGGAATATCCAACTTCTCATTAAATAGAGAACTTCTTCCAGTTACAAAATCAAGTTTTTCCTTATGCAGTGAAGGCACAGATTCCACTGAAATTTTTATATTCTCTTCTCAAAGTGCTAAGGATATTTACTCATCAAGTATAAATCAAGCAGATTTATCAATATGCTTTAGAAAATAAATTTTAATATAAAATTAAATAAGATTATTTTGAGTCAAAATTAGTAGACTAAATTTTTGTTACTGCTTAGGTTCTAACATTAAAAGAAAATAATAGAGAAGTTTGTTGTGGTCAAGTATATCGGAGTTTGATGTGTGTGTTGTGCTGAGGTTTGAGCCCAGAGTCTCTTACAAGCCAGGTAAATGCTCTGCCCCTGAACTACTACATCTCCATCACTGGGTTTGTTTTTGAAATCTAATTATAACAATTTAGCTATTCAAAGCAGTCATCTTTAATTGTTTCTTATTTTTTCAAAGTAGGTTATACTTTTTAGTTTTGGACTACTTAGAGAAGTAAACAAGTTTAATTCACATTTACATTTCTTATGTATACTTTATGAAATAAGTATATTTTCTCATAAGACCATGAGCCTAAATTTGAAAAACATTGTATTCTTCCCCAAAACAAGAAAACTAAGCATAGCAGTACATCACTGTCTCCATTACAGTTTGGAAAACCTCTGAGCCTAAGCAGACAGAAAGAGAGAGGGAACACTCCTATTGAAAGGACAAGAACCTACCTGGCACAGTGTCATGTAAAAACCATACTAAACACAATTGGCTGGGGAGCCAAGTCCTTGGTTGCCTCAGACCACTTCAGACTACAGTTACTGGGTAGAAAGGAGACAGGAACTCACCGATACATCGCTGACTAGCAGGATCCTAGACCTGTGGTGACTGGTCCGCGACTGAGCGTGTGCATCAGCTCATCCGTGGCTTTGTAGGTTAAAGTGAGGTGAAGAAAGAAGTCACTTATGAACCATAGAGAACCAGTCTGACAAGTCTTGGCTAGTGTGGGGACTATTTGTGTGACTAGTGCGACAAAGACACTTTTTATAGAGAGCAACAAGAAGAATAACTTATAAGAACTTTCTAGGAGCAAGGACTTAAAAGCAATTGTCTTGAGCTACTTTTAAGATATTAACATTATGGGGATTTTAGGATGTTCTGTTTTTAAATTACAAAAAGGCAAAATTAGGGTTAACCTCAGCCTCCTCAAGCTTCCAGGTTAATTAAGCGAGCTGCCTGACAAGGACTAACACCAGTATTTTGTTTTGGAAACTAAGCTGACACATTTTCTACTCAGCCAAGCATATAAATGAAAGTTTCCCTTTGGAATTAACTATAAGCCAGATGTTGGAAATACATCAGAGATTAGAAAAACATTAGCATCTTAAAACTGTGTGTCACTGCTGTTCTAGAAAAGTCAAGTCATTTACAAATACTAACCTCCACTTAAGACAGTCTATTTCTTTCATTTTATTAGAATCTGGCACATTGCCTAACTCACTGTTTTGTTTATTTCAGAAAACAGATAAATATGTTTGTCAATGTGTTCTTGCAAACAGAATTGAAGTATCTCTATATTTGCTTGAGACATTTTTTCAAATTGCTTTCTCTAATGCTCACAAAGAAGGTTATCTGTTCACCTCCCTGATCTCATGGTGTTGTAACTCTTGCCTACTGGAAAGGAACTTTTGTTTGTCTCTCACTTTACTCGGTTATAAAATTTCAACAGAAAGGAATCTCTCGTAACATACACAGACTCTTAAAATTACACATGGAAAAGAAAGAACACTGCTTGATTATACTATGTAACCAGTTATCCCAGGGCTTGAACAGGGGCAAGATGTAGGGATTCTTGATGAGGAATGGGGTTGAAGTCACTCTAGCAGTATTGCAAGGAACCTCCACCATGGGGAAGTTGTCCTTGTGTCTTCAGAAATGTCCCTTTTTACAAATCCCTCCCATTTGGACTCAGGGAACCCTGCAGAAGTAGAAGAGCCTGAAAGAATGGAGGGCACCAAGGAAACAAGGTCTTTTAAACACAGTAGAAACAATTCACACAAGGACTCACGGAAACTGAGGCAGCTTACAATAGGACCTGCAGGGGTCTGCACCAGATAGGTTCCTAGAACTGAAAGCAAAAGTGGACACGAGACCTCATCCGTAATTCTAAAGCTTTCTCCAATTTATAACCACTTGCAAGTGAACATTCAGTTTTCTACAAGGGAGTCTCACTGGGGAAAAAATTTATTCTTAAGGTAGGCTGTATGCCCAGCAATAGATGGTCAACAGAATTTGAATTTCTGATCCTCTCCCCTCTGCTAAGATTACCAGCAAGCACATCTGGTTTTATGTGGATAGACCCAGGTCTCTGTGAATACCTGGGCAAGTATTCCACCAGCTGAGCTCCATTCCTAACCCAAGAGATGGGCTTTTTATATTTAAGTTAATAAATCACTTAATACAGGTGAACAATAAGCATATTTACTTACCTGAAATAATTCAATATATGCATCAATTTTTGTCTACTTAAAATTTTATCCAAAAATAAAAAGGCAACAAAATATACTAAAAAACCAATTAAACAAAAACAAATCCTTTGGATTTGAGATTACATTGTTCTTAAGCAGTCTTTAAAAGTGGCACCTCTGACAATAAAACATTATCACTTAGTAATTCTATATCTTATTTGGAACTTAAGTTCTTTTGAAAATGTTCGCTAAGCATTTATCTTCAAGGGAGAATGTACTTCTCTTCCAAATAACTCTGGGCCAAGACTTTCCAGACTCAGCTAACAAAAATCTCATTTCCTTTGTTCTTTCACAGAAACTACATCTCAAATTCAAATAAATTCTTTATATGTGTCTAAGATGGTATATATGTATACCTAGAAATAAAGATGCAGAAAATGAGAGGACAGTCTTCAACTTTGGTTAAGAACTATTAGAACATGCTTCTACAAAATCAGGAATTATGAGTATCTAAACAGACTTAAATAGGTATCTGTTTAAAAGTATTGAAAGATAATCACAATCCCCCCCCTATTCAGGCCACTCAGAAGCCACTACACAGCTTGCGGAGACATTTCAGTGTGTCCTGAATTCTACTCTAATGCATACAACAAAAACAGAGTAATGTCATGCATGTGTAACCTCAGCATCATGGGGGTGGGAGTAGTGGTGGAGAGACAGGAAAATCCCTGGAGTTTTGTAGCTGGCCAGTCTAGTAAGTTGGTAAGTTCCAGGATTATTGAGAGACCCTGCCTCAAAAAATAAAGTGGAGAGCAATGGAGGAAGAGGACATCTATGTTGACCTCTGACTTTCATAGGCACACAACCTACTCACACACAAAGTTGTAACAGTACATAACATCAAATTTGACGGTATAGTTAACAGTTTAGTAGAAACTTGAAAATGACAAGGAAAAGAGATATGAAAATATCTGATTTGAAGGCTCCACTGGGAGAATTCATGAATTTAGTCATTTTTGATAGTCACTCTTAGAGTTGTAGGATATAAAAGCAACATTAATCATTTCAAAACTATCTCTAAAAGAGACAAAAATGTTTCTTAGAGAAGAAGTTCATCTTTTATTCAAATACTCTTTCTTTGCCATTTTGGAAATCATTCTGTATCTGCATCAGAAGCGATGGAGTGAAGAAACATTCACCCTGGGCATGAATGAGTTATGATTGTCACAATCTATGGAATGGTGAAAGAAGAGTCAAGAAAAGATCTGTGCAGTAGAGTCTCTTGTAAGACCATAGTAGATATATCACATTGCATAACAAGTTAGCAACTTGACCACAGGTATTTTTATCAGCCAAACAAATTATTACATTGTCCTTCTATACAGTTAGCAATTTTACTACAATGGCTATCTGGTGCCATAAGCTTCAGAGGTATACTGCCACTGTGGCTAGTCAGGGATGTTTTTATCATTGCTTAAATACCTCTTAGCTTGTACCAAGTTCTTTAATGCTAGATAAAACACAGATGTCTATAATAATCTGACTAATTTCTGGAAGCCCTTAAAATTATCCAGAGGTTGTATCACTGTAATAATAAACCAGTGCTTTTTATTAGTCATTTAGTGGGACACATATTATACACTGACAAATATTGTTAAACTAGCTGTCTGGGTAAGCAAAGGTGTTACCATTAGTGAATTTATTCCCATGGTGCATACAGCTCCTATTGGGCTCTAATTATTTGGTCTTGGAAATAAAAAAAGATATCTGTTCCCTTTAGGAAGAGCAGTAACCTTTCCCTATGAATGCTGTTCTACACATGAATCTACTTACTAGCCTACATGGCTCCCTAAATTTCTATGTCATCATATTAGAAGATGAGTACTCAGTGCCATAAGGACAGGACACTATAAGACCTCATAGTTTGCTTACCCTTCTAGGTGGAGAAGTGACTGATCCAAAATTTTGGCATCTTAGTGAACTATTTTCAATTGTGAGCTGTTAAAATAGTCCTAGTCATTCAAAATCCTTCTTATTTCTAGATATGATTTCTATATAGTTTTACACTTAAGACATTGGAACATGATGCTCATCATTTCCACTGAGTTGATGAACAGGGTTATTATCTATATAAACCCAAAATCACTTGACTACTCCTGTCCCATATCCAAATACTAAGTCTTTTCTTTTACCACATGGTCCTTTTGTTTGCTCCTACACTACTGAATTTGGCTCTGCCTCCCAGATTTTATTATGTTGTTCCTGTCTTCTGGAATTCTTTTTCTTCTCATTTTCTTAGTATTCATTCTCTCACTTCATTCACATCAATACTCATATATCAACTACTCCTGAGAGTACTGAACACTCCATCAAAAACAGTCTGTCATAATATCCACAGTAATTCAACTTTTTTTTCATTTTATGATTATATGAAAATGGTGTGTGCATCAAGTAAAAGCTATGGTGTGAGATGTGAACATTTAGCTTTTCCTAGACTAACACTGTTTGTTACAATATTCTCTGGGCATCCTGGGCAGCAACAGTGAGGCACAACCCTGGGCCAGATAAATAATTGTGAAGATCGATCACCTTTTCTCACATCATGGTGAATTTCTAAGCTGTGATGCTTGGTAGGTCAGGTGTTTTAGGTACATTTTCTCTCAGTATTTTCAACTTACAATGGGCTTCTAGAGACATTAACATTGTTTCAGGGCCTGAAGAGATGATCAGCAGTTAAGAGCACTGGCTGTTCTTCTAGAGTTCATGAGTTCAATTCCCAACAACCACATGGTGACTCACAACGATCTGTAATGAGATCTGGTGCCCTCTTCTGGCCTGCAGGCATAAATGCAGGCAGAAGTCTGTATACATAATAAATAAAACAATATTTTAAAATTTGAATTTAAAAAACATTGTTCTACATAGAGGAACATCTGTATCTCCCATTAGCCTCCACTCCTACAGCCACTTTCTTTTCTGTAAGATTATTCACACACACACACACACACACACACACACACACACATATATATATATATACATAATTTACTATAGTACATATAGTTTTTTTCATTGAAATGCAGTCCCTTCAAACTAGAAACTGCATCTACTCTTTCTTGGATCTGTACTCAAAATTTAGACAGTGCCTGACATAAATGCACTAAGAAAATGCCAGTTTTGAGGACTGGGATGTAGCTCAGTGACAGAATGCTTGCCTGATCTGTATAATATATTAGCTTCAGTTTTCAGCATCACAAAAAGAAAATTGTTTGTTGCATATTGCTTTACATGCAGTCTGTTCTTGGAGCACTATAATACTACCTGCATAAATGAGTAGCAAACCTCCACATTCCAGTAAAATGGAACTAAGACTTTGGAACATTTACTGTCACACCCTCCTTTTAGCACTTCCCACGTACTTGTTGGTCTAATCTTCACAATAATCTTACATAGTAGGTGTTATTATTTTGTTATCTCTTTGCTGATAA